AATTTCATTACGAGCATGGTCGGTTTAGGTGCTATGATTTGCTTCTCTGTCCTCCTCTTCGATTCCAATTTATTTGCTTTTGATGGCAGTAGAGGCACACTTTTTGCAACAGATTCTTTTCCATCCCGTGGGATGTCGGTAACCTTACGAACAGCCTTCTTTTCCAGAGTCATTGATTTCAAGTCATCGATCTTCTTCCTTTTCTTCACAGATATTCCCTCTAATCGTTCAGATGCACCACGTTTCTGCCCACCTTTGGCTGGATCTTCAGACCTGACCGGAGTTTTCATAGGCTTCCCAGTTGGCATCTCTTCGGTACCCTCACCAGGACTTGCTGAAGCTCTCACAGCAGGTAATTTACAGAAACGAGCTTCTTTGGACTCATTTTCAGCTGGCGCCATTGAGGGCAAGCTGTTATGATAAGCAAGGGACCGGAATTTCAAGAAAACTTTCTGGACGATAGCTGGAATACTCCCATGGAAGGGATATAGAGCAGAAACTTTCAAATCTCTCAGTAGTCTAGGAAGTTCTAGCTCTACAGCATTCCCAATCCCAACCGCCTTCATTGTTTCCGTTGTAGGACACAGTGAAGAGCCAACTACATTTTTGCTCTGATTCTCAAGTCGATAATCTTCACCAAACAGAACTTGGACTGATGTTCCTGAACTGTTATTCACTGCCATTTCACTATAACTGGCAGCTGCAGGTATCTGCACACGGTCAGTGCTTGTTTCAGTACCTATTTCATGCTTTCTTTTCTTCTTCCTCTTCTTCTCCACCAAGACTGAATTTTCAGTGTTCATATCTCCAGAAGGACGCTTGTGTACCTTAGCTTTCTTTTTGCCGCCATGGATAAACTCCATGGAACCTTCAGAAGGTGATTTCGTTTAGGAATATAATAAAGACGTGCAAAGAAAAAGTACAAAATTAAAGGAAGAGAGAGATATCCTCACCGCTACAATCATCCTCAAGTTTCTCTTTGCACAAATCTTTAGCAGAAGCCTGATGACTCGTAGGCAGCTCACAGCCTTCAGATATACTGTGCTCACTGCTATGCTCTGAAATTCCAGAATAAACAACTTTACCAGAAATGCCCAATCCATCTACCAAAGGAGGCTGACTAGGGGAACCTGCTTGTCCAGAGCTCGATTTGCCGGTTTTCAACTCAGTTCTTTCATCTCGGCCTTTTAATAGATAGCTTTCTTTCTCAACTAGCTCCTTCGTTTTAGTTGGTTTTACTGAGCTTTTCCCTTTACCAAGAGCTTCTGCAATCACTAGTCGGCCACTCAAAGCAGCTGCAAATTGACGTAATCTATTAAACTGAGTAAAAAAAACCCAAAACCCAAATATAAAAAATAAAAAATAAAAAAAATGCCCTCCATTAGAAAGAGATCTACTTGTAAAGCTATCATGCTACGAGGATTTTACTAAAGAAACTCATAAGGTCAGGAGACATAAGGCCCTAAAGATTCAAGAAAAATCTCTGATACTGTGCCGAATAATGCACAAACTTATCTGATGCGGCAATTAAAATTAGGTGCAAGAGCAAGTAAATTTCTCATTAACTAGCATTTCACGGGAAACTTCCATCATAGAGGAAAAATAAGCAAAAATAGTCGGACAAGAATATTTTTTGTGAGGAAAAGATCATAATTCATAAGCATATGTAAATTATTTAAATACTTAGCGCTTATCCTCTCACGATATATAAACAGAAACAAAACAACTTTATTGAACTCTCCAAACACTGACTACATATCATATTTTTCTTTATTTTCAGGTTTTTTTTTTGTGTTTTCGGAATCATGTACTTTCTTTCTGTAATATTAATTATTTTAGAGCTAATCGTGATGATATTCGACTCTTAGTAAATGATTAAACAGGGAAGCAAGGTTTATCAGCCATAGAAGAATTCTGTGAAGTAGTAATTTCATATAATATACTGAATTTTACTACATAATAATGTAGTAACACACGCCCTTTTCCATCATCATTCAGTTCTAAAAATCTATTTTTCCCATTTCATTACAACAAATGGTTCCTAACGGATCAGTCGGGTTTACACAATGATCTTTACTGGGGATTGACAATTTCAATGAACCGTAACCCGTTCAACAAAACAAAATTACAGATTTAACTTATATCTGTCGAACTCTCACCCACTAGAAGTTTTGGGTTGATCACTTGAAGGCCAAAAAATTAATATTTTTTCACCCTGACATCTGATTGCATGTCAACTTCCACCACTTCTTGCCTGCATAGTTGAATGGTTCAGTTTTACTTCAACATTAATTTGGTTGAATAATTAGTAATTTTTTGGACTTTCATTGAGGAAAGAAGTTACAGTCATAAAATTAATATGAATACACTCCTATTTGATGCTTTTATATAAAATTACCAGAAAGATGTATAACATCATTTAACATGGGGACATAAAAACAGAGTACATCTCAGCTTCCAAGGGGGACAAAGATACCCTTTGTTATTACCTTTCGAACCATTTGGTAGGACATTGGCTTCTACTTCTTGTAAAATGGCTTTCTAAAAATACTGAAATATTAGGCAAGCTTCTTCTAAATGTTTTTATAGTCAAACAAAACGCTTTTGAAAAATTATTCAAACATGTATAAAAGCAACTTTTGACTTTTCTAAACTCCTACCAAACAAGCCACGTAGCCTGCCACTAAAAGATTTCCAAATGACGGTCCCCATTGATTTTTTCAAGCCTTCAGTTTCCAAAACTTCCATTTCCCATTAATGTTCGTCTGTAAACAGTAATATGTTTTGCATGTGCACACTTTTTTGAGGGTTGTTTTCGTTAAACAATCATTTTTGGTCACAAATAGTTCAACAGGGACAAAGAAAATGGAAAAAGAAACAGAAAAAGGAAGACTAAAAAACCATAAAACAAGGGAGGAAAACGCTCACTGCTACCCAGCACCCACGTCACTTGGTTGACCTTTATTTTCATTGGGCAAAGCTTATTACCTGTTTGGTACCAATTAAAATTTTAATTTTAATTTAAGTCAAAGTCTACAATTCATTTCCACCACATATTTTGTGGATCCTACAACTTTTAAACCACAAAATTCACAAATTTCTATCAAAATCTACTAAAAACAGGGGCAAGCAACCATCTTGGTGTAATAGCATGGGTTTGCTACTCTGCATACATGCTTTAACATTTGTACCATGACTATGCTTTCAATATCATCACAGGGCTGGACAAGCTCCCAAGCATGTGGTTCCTTACCCCCCC